AGGCCCCGTGCAGGGTGCTTCCTGGGAGCCCCCTTCAAGCCAGGCCCCGTGCAGGGTGCTTCCTGGGAGCCCCCTTCAAGCCAGGCCCCGTGCAGGGTGCTTCCTGGGAGCCCCCTTCAAGCCAGGCCCCGTGCAGGGTGCTGGCATGCAGTGAAGATGCCACTCCCGCAGGATTCAGTCCTTGGGGAAGAACCCAATGGACGCCGTGAAGCAGGCTCGAGGAGAGGCGGAGGGCACAGCTCCTGAGCCTGGAGGGGCTGCTGAAGCCGGGGGCCCTTCCAGAAGAGGAGGAGCCACCGGATGACGAGCACGGCTGGGAGTATTCCAGGCCTAAGAATGGCAAATGCAAAGTCCCTGAGGTCAGCAAGCAGGAAGCTCTCGCCCGGAGGAGGAATAAGTGGCTGGGACCAGCAGAGAGGCTGGGAGAGGATGAGACACGGGGTCCTGGGCCATGCTAGGCCTTCTGGGGTTTTGCAGGGGAATAACCTGCTCTGGTTAGTATTTTAAAAGATGACTCAGGCAGCCACATGGAGGATGGAAACTGCTCTGAGTCAGTTTACTCATCTATAAAATGGGTTCATTTGTGAAAAGCACAGCTGAGGGCTATCTGGCCTAGAGTTGACTCTCAGAAGGAAGAGGCACAAAGCCTGGGTTTTCCCGTTCAATCAGAAGTCACCACACGTCACTTCCCTCCTCAAACTCCAGGACAGAGAGCCCCCTCTTTCCTTTGGTCCCCACGTCCTGCTTGGCCTGGGTGCTGCTGATTCCTCTGGCCCCGCCCCTCTGCCCTGGCCCCCTCCCCATGGGCCTCTGCCTAGAGCACAGGTGTGCTGGATGCTGCATGGCCACCATCCCCCCGCCCTCCCCACAGACATCACACGAGCACCCCGACCCTGGCAGGGGCCGAAGGTGTATGTGTGTGTGAGTGTGACATGGACAGCACCGCAGCACGAGACCCATTTGGCCTGGGCAGACAGGGTCGGCTTCAAGGCACTGGTTTCAAGTGATTTGCAGACCTCTGCTCAGAGCCCACGGGCCTGAACTGCGTGCACAGCCCGGTGAGCTGCAAGGTGAGCCCGAGGCGGAGCGTCCCGGGGCCAGCCGTGGGCCGTGGCAGAGCAGCAGTAATCGCTCCCCGGCGGCGCGGCCCTCCAGGTCCCCTCCACACACACACACGGCTTGTCAGCAGCCTTCGATGCTTTCAACGCCATCCTTAGGTCAACACCCAGGCAGGGAGAGAATGTTCTACGCTGCACCCTATGATGGGTGAGGGAGCTGAGAGCCAAGGAGGAGGGGGTGACCACAGCTGGGCAGCTACAGAGCTGGGGTTCAAACCCTGGCAAGTGTGGCTCCAGAGCCAGACTCCTAGCTCTGCTGCTCCCTGCTACCAAGCGCCGCAGGCCCCAGGAGCCTCCGCTAGCCCCCAAAGCCGTCACCTCGAGTCCTCAGGGGCTTCCGGCCAGCATCCCCGTGGCAGGGTGAGCTCGTCCCTGGGCCCTGCAGCCCTGAAACCAGAACCCCCCAAAATACAGCCTGAGCCTGTTCTGATGGCTGGCCTGGCTCTGATTCACCCATGCACGTATCCACAGACCAAAGGAATCTCGTTGAGCACCTACTGTGTGCCAGGCACTGTCTGGGCACCTGGGAGGTGGCAGGGACCAAGATCCCTGGAGTCCCACCCTTGCCTTGGAGTCAAAGCAACAACGCTCATGGTCAGGAAGCCCCTGGCCAAGCGTGCGAGGGGACTCTGAGAACTGGGGGAAGAAGGAAGAGAAGGGCAGGTGAAGGCCTGGCAGGGCCAGGGTGGAGGGTGTGCAAGTCTAACCAGGGTGGACTTCACGGAGGCAGTGATAGAACCAGGCAAAGGCTGGAAGCAGGTGAGGGAGTGAGCAGACTCGGCAGAGGGCTTTGCAGGCTGGCAGCCGCCCATGCAAAGGCCCTCAGGGGGACAGTCGCCCGTCTGCCCTCCATCAGCAAGGGGACCAGCAAGGTGGGCACAGCACGCATGGGAGGGGGAGCAGCGGCCAGAGGCACCTGGGGCTGGAACGCAGCCCGCAGATGGCTCTGAGATTGCCCTCCCCAGAGCAAGGAAGCTGGGCTGTTTCCACCGCATATCTGATGTTGCGGTCGGAGGAGCTGGCGCGGGCAGGCGTGAGCCGCGCAGCGCGGCACAGCTGAGAGCCGCGGGGCCTCGGAGCAGCTGACATCCGCTCGGCCTGCGGCTCCTTCCTGTGGTTTCTGCGTCTCAAATTGCCCCCGGGGCTCTATTTTGGCTCTTGTTCGGGGTTTGGTGTTGGGGGAGCTCCTCTGTGTATCTGAGCCTGGCTCCTCTTGGGGTTTGTTCAGCACAGACGGGAGGGGTCACTGGACATCTCAAGTGTCCTTGGGGGCCTGCACTGCCCTTCAGGCTGAGTTGTTGAAGGTCACACGGCTGGAGGAGGCCACAGACCGAGGGCCCTGGGACAGCCCGTCCCGCCTGTCCCATCTAAGCAGGTTCTTGCCACTTACTGCCTCACTCACGCCGCCCCAGCAGACGCTGTGCCCTGTGGTGGCAGGACAGCAAAGGTGCACATTACCTTCACAGCACCGATGGGGTGGCCACAATGGGAGCACAGGGTAGGGGGTGGGGGTCGGTCAGAAAGGTTTCTGGAAAGCTGTGGGGTCAAGAAAATGCCTGTGATGTCATGACCACACTTGTGATGTCACACCCACACCTGTGATGTCATGACCATACCTGTGATGTCACGTCCATTCCTTTGATGTCATGACCATGCATGTGACATCACAATCGTGCCTGTGATGTCATGACCATGCCTGTGATGCCAGGACCACGCCAACAATGCTACACCCACACCTGTGATGCCACATCTATACCTATGATGTCAGGACCACACCTACAATATCACACCCTATGATTTCATGTCCACACCTGTGATGCCAAGACCACACCTACAATACCACACCCCACCTGTGATGTCAGGACCAAACCCCACCTCTGATGTCATGTCCACACCTGTGATGTCAGGACCACACCCCACCTGTGATGTCATGTCCACACCTGTGATATCAGGACCACACCTATACCACACCCCACCTGTGATGTCACATCCACACCTGTGATGTCAGGACCATGCTGGCACCCATAAGTAGGAGTCTGAGGGGAAAGGCAGTGACGGGGTCTGCGGGCTTGGTTAGCACACAAGGGGCTTTGAGAAGCAGCACAGGGGGCAGTGACGCAAGAGGAGGCAGCAGCTTCTCGAGGGCAGAGGAGCCCCCGCCCCGGGTGGGCATCCTGGGGTCATGGAGCAGACCCAGCAGGTTAGGGGAGGGGCATGTGTATCTGGGAGTCCACAGAAATCCCATGGCTGCTGGGAGGAGGTCACAGAAAGGGGATCCACTCCCAGCACAAAGCCCGCCCTCCATGGGGGCCCCCACGCCCCAGTTTCCAAGAGAATCAGACACCAAAAGAGAGCAAAGAACTTGCCCAAGAACACCCAGAGATGACACCAGGACGGGGCCGACAATGGGGCTCCCCCCCCCGGGCAGCCTTGCTCTTGCCACGAAGGCTCAGTGTCCACCGAGCACCAGCCTCGTGGGCAGCAGAGACCCTGGGTACCCCCATCCCCAGGGAAGGCAGAGCACGGTTATTTACCAAGCACTGCACAAGGCCATCTACCTTCTCTCGTGTGTCGCCACCACTACAGGGGAAAAAACCCTAAACATGCATTCCTGTTGTGAGCCAGGGCCCCTCCTGAGCCTAGATCACGTTCTGGGTCATTTGTTCATTCAGTAACTCACACTTATCGGAGTTCCTTCCACATATGAGCCAAAGCGCGGGAACGTGTGTGTGTGTGTACACACCCATCGACACACACACACATCATCACAATGCAGGGATGACATTGTGCCCCATTCTACAGATGAGGAGACTGAGGCTCAAGCAGCTTGCCCAGTGTCACAGTTTATGTTTGTGGCAGAGCTGAGATTTAAAAGCAGTATATAACCCACACCCTACATTCAATAGGCACTTAATAGCTGCTCACCCCAATGGCCAACTGGCTCCAACGCCCTCCCTGGAAGCCCTGGGGTGTGTGTTCTCAGAGCAGAGGAAATGGAGATGCTACAGGGGACACAGAACTGCTCCTTGGAGGTCTGTGAGGTTCACCAAGCGGGTGGCTTCCTCGTATGGAACACAAGTGCGTGACACGGGACCGTCAATCATGACGGACGATAACGAGAGCCCTGGCATGGGCTGGGCCTCCTGGGCTGCTGGGCACTGTTCACGCCGAGGAGCCCACCCCTGCCTCAGCCCGCTCCCAGCACAGAGCCGGCGAGGGCTCCCGGGCTAGCTTCCCACCGTCGTGCGGCTGTGTACGCTCTCACACCGCGACGGTCCTTCCCCGCTTGCTGCTGTCTCTCCTGCTACAGAAGGACGCCGAGTGACAGCTGGTGATTTTCCAAGCCCCTTCACTTGTCAAAAGGCAAAGGCAGAGCTGCCAAACGGGCAGGAGTCGTTACTGAGCCTTCAAACTGCAAATCCCCTGGGAAAGGCAGCCCAGACTCTGTTCTTGGTCACGTCCCCGGCTGCTCCGCGCCCCTCCTGTCTTCGTGGCGGGCCCTGCCCACTCCTCAGCCCCGTGTCTGCTGGACTTCTGCATGCCAGAGGCTGGCCCATCACTGCTGTCATTGTTCCGGTCCCGGTCAGCCAAGTCTCCCTCTCTCACCTGGCCAGCCCCTACAAGGTGTGCTGAATGAGTGAACAAAAGCTTGCTGAGCCCCCGGGGCTCCTACGATGCTCTGGGCACCAAGACTAGACCTTGACCTTGCTCTCCAGAGGTCAATTCCAACACCTCGAGAATTCTTTCCCATGAAGGCGCTGCCCACCACGGGCGCTGACCCCCGAAGGCACCCTCTTTCCAGGACACGACAGCCTCCAGTCCTGCCCCCACCTCTCACCCGGCACAGCCAGCCTGACCAGGCGGCGGGCACCTGCTGCTTACCTTCTGCAGAGACACACCTGCAATGCACCAGCGTCTCGCAAGAAGAAGGAGCCTGCGTCTCATTCCACAGAAACCCAGGCAGCGAGAGAACGCGCCCGCGACAGCCTCTGTGCGCTTCTGCTGCATAATCAGCAGAGAAAGAGAAAAATGCCAGAAATAGCAAGCTTTCTAAGCCCTCCTGACAACTCTTGGTCCTCTATTGGCTGCAGGCCCGGCACCCCCGCCCCCTATCCCGTTCCTATAAGGTGAAATGGAAAAAACAGCTATTTAACCTCTTTTTTCAAAATCCATCTTCCATCCCAATTTGGGCCTGTGTGTTCAGAGCTCCTGGTGGCGGCCTCCACGCAGGTCTCGGGGAGCAGACAGGGAGTAGCCATTACACACAGCGCTGCGTCACATCGCCTGTGGCTCGACAGGGGGTGGGGGCTGCACTGCACGGGCCTTTGGCAAACAATCCGGCAGTACCTGTCAACGTGGCAAACCTGCACGCCTTTTCATTCGGCAGCAAGACTTCCAAGCAGAAGTACCTGTGCTCAGCGTGCACGGACAGGCACCCAAGGAGGGAGCTTGTTACGGAGAGCGGCAGAGGCAAACTCAAGGTCTAAACCCAGGAGAGGACCTTGGAACGCATCCATGGGATGGGATAGGGTGGATTGAGGAGGGCCCACAGGTGCTGATTTGCAATTGGTTGGGAGAAAAGGGCAAGGCCACAGTCCCATCTCTCTAAAAACAACTGTGTGCGTGTCTGTATACATGTGTGTGTATACATGTGCGTATGTGTATGTGTGTGTATACGTGTGGTGTGTGTATGTGTGTGTGCGTGTGTGTGTTGTGATATGCACTGTTAAGATGCCAAGCTGTTAACAGTGGCTGCTCTAGGGAGTAGGAGGAGGAAGTATTTTCATTTGCTTTTTTTCTTCCTTGTCTTGTTTCATTTCTTTTCTTTTACACAAGTGTGTATTATATTTGTAATTTAAAACAAAAACACAGGCGCCTCCCCCGGTTCAATCGTTGGAAGCCAGCTGGTCAAGGGCCACAGTCACCAGCCACGAGGCCAGATGGGGCTTGGGACAGCACTGCCCGAGGCTCTCAGGATCCCCCGGCAGTCTCATTAGTTCACGCGCACTAAATCAGGGCTCTGGAAGAGCAGGGATTTGGGGGACAAGAGTCCTCACTCTGCCTGCTGAAATGGCCAACTCCCCTGAGCCTTGGTTTCTCAGTCTGTAAAATGGGGGGATCAGTGTCACATACTGGGCAGGGTGCTATCAACCAATTCTAATTTCGCATGTTTCAGAGGCCACAAAGGCAGGAGACACATCATGGAGTTAAGAGTGGGGTCAGAGCCCTGGGGAATCACCCCCCGACGGAGCACCAGGGAACAGCACAGGTCAGGTGATGTGAGGGCGATGCCAGCGCGTCTGCAAGAGGAGGGAGCCAGAGTGGAGCAGGGGAAGGAGGCGGCTCCAGAGGGAAGGGGACTTGCTGCTGCTGAGCCTCTGCACCTCTCCTGGGCTGGGCCTGGGCCTGGACCCTCTTTCCCCCGACCATCACAGATCTGCCACCTTCTCCTCCCTCTACCTCCATTCAAATATCTCATCCTCCCAGCAAGGGCTCCTCTGGTCTCCCCCAGCCCCAGGCTGGGCTCCCCATGGCGCGGCCCTCCAGCCGGGGGCTTCTGCCTGTCTGTTTTGCTGGTTTTGTTTCTGTGAGCGCCTTGATGGCTGGGACCATCTCAATCATCTCTGGGCCCCTGCTCCTAGCACAAGGTCTGACACACAGTAGGTACTCAACAAAGAGAACACACAACCCATGGATCTGTGGCCAAGATCCAAGCACATGGAGCCCATCTAAAAGAAAAAGAGGCTGGGACTTTCGTACTGTGGTACCAAGAGGAGGAAAATTTCAGACCCACTGAAGATTCAGGAAAGCATGAAGTCGAAACCATCCAGGAATATTTGTACAAGCTCAGGATGGGAAAGAACTTTCCGAGCCCAAATTCAAGTGGCTATTGATTGCACCACTATTTCAAAGAAAACTGAAATGACAATACCCTCAATAGGCATTGGTGAAGCAAATCACGGCTCGTCACACAAAGGAATACAACGCGGCCACGAGAAACAGCCGGCATTTGTTGATGTGGAAAGAAGCCCACGCTGCGTGGCGAATGTGTGACTTGCTCATCAGACCCTGGTTAGTTACAGGCATGACTGCTCGTCCCAGAGAAAGATGTCCTTCAGTGATCATCCTCACACTCATCTGCACCCTCATCCAGTCCACAAGCATTTCAGTCTCAGACGCAGGGGCAGTGCGTGAACAGGATGCTGGCCTGCCCTCCAAGGCCTCCTGGCTCCCACATGTGAGTGAATAACTGCTCACAGCTGAGGGCCTGAGGCCAGAGTGAGGACTTCATGGAGAAGGCGTCCTTCAAGCTAGGGTTTGAAGGAGCCGCAGAATTCGGGTGTACAGACGCTTCTTGACTTACCATGGGAATACGTGTTCTGTCCATGGCTAGCACCGGAGGAGCAGACGTGAGATCTCTCTGCATGTCCACCTCTCTCTCTTTCTCTAATAAGTGAAAGATGCACTTGATGCATTTAGCTTAGCAAGTTATGACACCTGCGGCCCACATCAGAGTACCTGGGCTTGATTCCTGGCTCCAGCTCCTGACTTCCTGCTCATGCAGACCCTGGGAAGCAGTGGTGATTCCGACTCATATAACTGGGTTCCTGCCACCCACATGGGACACTTAGGTGGCAGTTCCAGCTCTTGGCTTTGTCCCAGCCTAGCTCTGATCACTGCAAGCATTTGGGGAGTGAACCAGAGATGGGAGCTTCCTCTCTGTCCACTTGTCTCTCTCCGCCTATCTCTGCTTCTCAAATAAATACATAAATATTTTAAAGTGCATTTAATACAACTGACCTATTGAACAGCAGAGTTCAGCCTAGCCTACCTTAAACATGCTCAGAATATTGACAATGAGGTGAAACCATCACAGTTATAGTAAGTTTTGAATATCCTGTGTAACGTATCAAATACATGACCGAAAGCAAAAATTAGAACAGTTATACAGGTTCTTCCAATCTGGTTTTCTTTGGAATGTGGATCACTAAAGTCACAAAATCTGAACTTGAACCCATCGAGGGATGGTCAGTATGGACACGGGAGGAGGCACTGCAAGAGGCAGAGGTGAGATGATATGGATCAAGTGTAGGAAGCCCCTGCACTCCTCACCCAGCATTTACCAAATTCCACCATCTCTCTGCAGGGAGCAGGGTCTGTCCGGAGGAGCTAAGCCTGGGGACAGAAGGTTCTGGACTCGATTCTGCCATGTGTGCTGGGAGGCGGCATCCTGGGGTTGGGATAATGGCATCTACCAGTGCATGGGTGATGGGTGATAAACTCACTCCCTACCATGACTCACTCACCCCGGGACAGTCAGCACCACAGGCAGGCAGGGCTGGGGCAGGTGCGTCCATCTGGCAGGTTGAATGACTGAGGCTCTGCAAGGAAAACCCTGGTGTACAGCAGTAGATTCCAGACGCAGTACCCTTTGCTTTGTACTAAATATTGAGGCCAAGGGACTCCGAGCCAGTTGGAGGGAGTCTCATCTCTACAGACCCTCTGGAGCGGAACCGGGGAGGGGGCCCTGCACCTTGAAGAAACTCAGCAGTTTTTCATCTCATTTTGATTTTAGATTCCGAGGCAGCTCGATGGTTACGGTTCAAAGGCTGAGAAATGACTCAGCTTCCTGTGTCAGAGCCACAGCCTGTTGGGAAAGATATTTCTGTTTTCATCTTCTCTCTTCTCAGCCATAGAGGCAGTTGGTCCAGGCTGCCTTGCTTTCTGGGTGTAGGACTGTTCCCAGAGGGAGGGGCAGGGACAACGGCCAGGCCCTGGGGCCAGACTGCCAGGGTTTGAAGCCTGGTTCCAATCCTTGATGGCCAGAGAACCTGGTCAAATTTATATCCTCTTGGAGCAACTGTTTGTCAATCTCAAGGTGGGGATGACAGCTCCTTCCTGATGGGGTTACTGTGAAAAGCGGCTGTTACCTGTGGAAAGGATCTCTGTGGTTGGTAAATGTCAAGTTCATGGCCACGGTGCCACAGCACCTGGATGAGCTCACTTACCCATCACAGCTGTGCAGCACAACAAGGGGAGACAGAGGCTCAAAGCAGTGAGTTGACTTCAGTTTCCGTTTTCCCACCCTGGGGGTTGGTGCACCCCACCCCGACCAACCTACAGTCAGAGCTGCATGAGCTTTCTCCTCCAGCTGTCTGCCCTAGCAGCCGAGGGCAACGCTGGTCCCTCGCTGGCTGCATCTGCACAATGCGGACACACGTCGGAAGCTGCTGAGATGCTCTAGCCTTGATTTAATAACACAGCTGCACAAAGGGCTCAAGAACCTGCGATCTGGTCACATTACTCCTTCCTCCAGGGCACGGAGGCGTCCGCAGAGGGCTGAGCGATCCCCTAGCAACAGCCCAAGGAGAGGCCCGAAGCTGCTGGGGAAAGCCCCTCGCAGGTGAGCCCGAACGCTGATACTGAGAACAAGCTGCAGGCTGTTGCAGATCAAAGAGGCTCATCTGCCAAATGGCCACCTTGCACCTTGCACCTTTGTCCTGGAATGAACTGCGAAAAGCACTGGGGGCAGGTGAATCCAAGGTAACCCAAGCTCACGTCTCCCCCACCCCAGCTTCACCCTGAAGCGTGCACTGACAAGCACAACCTTAATAGTAACTAATTTTAAACCCTGTGATTACCAGGGTTGATTTCCATGGAACTTTCTTTTCACAGCGCCGAGAACCTCTCCAGAGCGGTAAGTGCCAAGTTCAATTTTAGCTCTGTCATGCCCAACCATCGGTGCTAACTAAGGCGGCTGCTTCCTTGCCAGGTAAGCTGGTAATGAAGTCGGCTTCACGGCTTAATTTCACAATATTGTGATGTCCCCGTCAGCACCTGTAAGTGCTGAGCTGCGAGCGCCTATTAAACAGATCTCACCCGCGGGAAGGGACGAAAGCCTCTCTGTGCTACACAGAGCTCTGTGTAGATCTTCACGCCCGTGGGGGTGATGCAGTGGCTGGATCCTACCCAGCACCGAGGGCGCCCTCATCCCTGCACCCCTAGCACCCCCCCAACCCCTAGAGTCACCTCCCATCCCCCCTCCCCATCCAGTCCGCCCTGCTGGCACCAGGCTCCTCCATTCATTGTCAAGGTGAAGCAGGAAAGTTCTCTTGCTGGGGGAAAGAGAGAGAGAGACAGGAAATGTGCCCCTACCCCTGCTGCTGCTCCTCGCCACGTAAAAGCCTCGGGGCCCCTAACTGCTCTCAAGGTGAAAGTGCTGATGCTGTTGTCTTCTAAAGCTCATCACGAGAGCCCTGGCCAAGCACACTCAAGCTCACTGCACCTGATCCCCAGCCCCCGAGTCCCAGGGACCTGCCCGCAGCACCCAAGCCCCATACAGCCCTGGCCTGAGTTCCCTGCGGGCAAACAGGACCCTCTGACCCCACTTCCTTAGGGGCAATCACCTGCGGGCACTCAGCAGTGGTATCGGCTGACTGTGCGGCATCACACAAATAGCCTCCGCACACCCTTTCGGCACTGAGTAAGTGCCTACTGTGTGCCAGGCCCTGGCACTCTCTGTGTCCCCCTTAACCCTCCAACAATGGCAGGACAAGATGAGTGGCTTCTCTTTTCTGGTGTGACAACGACCTCCGAGAGGCCCAGGACGCTCTCGGCAGCCACACAACTACTAAGTCTCAGGGTCAGAATTCAAACTTTGCCCCAAAATGGTCTCACCCCACGGGTCCCTCACTCGTCCTCCAACCCCACTGACGGGCACAGTGTGGGACCCACACAGGGCTCCACATTCCAGTCTCAGTTTGCCAGGCCGCCCCTCAGCCTCGGCATCTGTCCTGTTATTAACCAGCCCCCCCTACACACACACGCCCTCCTCCTGGCCGGCTTCGGTCTCAGCTGTCCTGCACGCGCACTGCGTACGTTTGGGCCGACACAGTGCCGGCTTCAGCTTTTGCCCAGAAGTGGACACAGCCACCACTGAGTTTTCACTTTTCCTCTTACCTAACTCCGCCTGCCCCCAGGGGACGGGATCCCTCTGCACAAATGAAGCAGGAACAAGCATTCTCCCCGTTTTACAGGGGAGGAGACTGAGGCACAGAGACTGAGTCCCAGGCTGGCTGGGCACAGCTGGCACCACGATGCTGTGCTGCCAGCTCAGCCCCCAACTCCCTCATTCCACAGCTAAGGACACCAAGGCCCCAGAGAACAGGGGTGTGCAGGACACCGAGGCCCCAGGAAACCAGGGGTGCGCCCAAGGCAGGGCTGTGAACTCCAGCCGGGATGGTGGCAGACACAGGCGGTGAAGCCAGCACGCCCTGGCAATGGCTCCCAGGGAAGGCAAGGCCGTGCTTCCAGGAGCGAGGGCACAAGCCCACTCCCACCAGAGGTGCACAGGAGGCCACGAGGCAGAAACGCAAAGGCTGGGAAGCCTCGCTGGGGTTCAAGGCCACCTCGCAGCCTGGACCGGTCACCCCACAGGGCAGCTGAAGCCTCTCTTTTCCCAGCCACAGACGGTATGCAAGTGAGTTCTGGAACCTGACATTCAGTGCCCTGCTCTGGCACTGAGGGGCTGCAGGGCTCCGTCACTGGCTGTGTGAAGAAGACATGAGCGGGGCACTGGCCCAGCGCCCCCTCCCCCACAGCACTGCGGCCACTGACCCAAACACAGCCACCCAGAGAGGGCCTGGATGGGGAAAGGCAGGGCCAAGGCTAGCCTCTCCCAGCTGAGACTCGATTCCCGGGACATAGCAGTGAATCAAACCAAATAGAGGTTGAACAGAAACCCGGAGTCAGGACTGATTCTTCTACAACTTCCCAGTGCTACCTTATGCAGGAAGGAGAGGATGAGGGGGTCCCTGGGGGCCACCCCCCACCTGTGGAGTCACAGAGCCTCTGCTGGTGGCAGGCCCTTTTCCTGGCCATGGCTGGGACCTGCTGCCTGGCCACGTGACACATCCCGGTTACCATGGTTTCTGTTTATCTGGGGGAGGATGACTGCTGACATCCCGGGCCTGGTGAGACAAGGGTTTTCTCCACTCCACTGTGCGGTCTGCTGGGGAACCCCGTTGTCCTCAACCACACACATTCACTCAGCCTCACGGCGCCTCCCACCTGAGCCAGGGAGCATAGGACTGGACGCTCCTCCAGATAAGAAACCCAGGACTCGGAGCTGGGCAGCAGCTTGTCCAGAGCCTTGCAGAGATGCAGGTGGAAGCGCAGATTCAAACTCGGACACATCTGACCGGTCCCATTACTCCAATCAGCGCTGGCTCGTTTAGGACCAAGACTCTGGCTCCCGGGGACCCTGATTCACTTGGGGGACTGTGCTGACAGATTCCAGTGCCTCAAAGGCAGCTTACGGGAGAAGCAGGCAGCACCCCATGAACTCGATGCTCTTGTCCCCCTCCAAACACCCCTCCTGGCCTGGCCCAGGGACACAAGGGACTTAGGATAGGAGCTTGTGGTGTGGCTGGGGAGGGGAGCCTCCCAGGCATTCCTTCTGGTCTCCCCCATTCCCAGTTCTGATCACATCATTCTGAGTTCATGGTCATGGATCACCAGTCAACAGCACCAAGTGCAAACCCTTTAACGCCGTGCCAAGCCCCCTGCCTGTCATAACCAGTCCCCAAATCCCTCGTATCTGACCCCTTCTTTGCCACCCCCTGCCCTCCCTGAAGCAGAACCCTCTGCCAGTGACGCCCTTGCCAGTCTCCAGGCCCTCATCTTTCACACGGATTTCCTGGGCCCCCACAACGAGCAGCCGCCTCTCCATCCTCCCAAAGTCCATGAAGTCCAGCCACCCTGGCGTCCACACTGCCCACTGGACAGTCCTTCCCCACTCCCCTCCTGGGACTGCATCACAGCTTCATCCCCAAAGTTCCTTTCTCAGCCCAAGGTTGCCAACACTTACAGGGAACGGCACTGCTCTGAGTGCGCCATGTGCTGGCTCCCTCCTTCCACAGGGCCTTTGCACATGCCACTCTGGCTGGCATGCTTCCTTTGTCCCCACACCTAGCAACTCCTCGTCCTACTGCAGGTCTCAGCTTAAGAGTCAGGGCGGGCCTCCCACTGCTCCTGTTACCCAGGCCCCACCTTCCTCACACCTGTCACACTTCCCTCAGGTGTCTCCTTGCTGGGATTATTTGCTGGCTGGGCTGGAGATGGGAGAAGCACAGCAGAAGGTCGGTCTCGTTCACCCTGCAGCCCCTGCCACAGTGCCTGGCACACAGCAGGGGCTCAATAAATGTCTGGTGTCTGAAATAGCAAGGGTAGCTGTGGCAGACTCCAAAGACGCCCACAGAGCCTCCTGCCCCTG